GCCCACAGGCCTTGCCGTGCGGTCGGGGAGGGGGGTGAGTGACCCCCTGAGCGGGGGTTGAAGTGTCTCGTCTTTCTTCAGGTAAATTTTACCAGCATGCCCCGGCGGAGGCCTCCCAAGCCACGCTGGCCAGCGTGTCCCCGGTTTTTGCGGTGGTAAGTGCGGGCGGGCGGTTCTGCCAAGGAGGGCAGCTTGTGCGAGGTGACAGTGCGGCATTTTTCTTTTTTTTTTTCTTTTTTTTTTTTTAAAGCATCATAAGAGCGGATGGATTTGTCTCTCGGAGAACATCCCTAGTTGTAAATTGTTGGTTTAAGGGGTTCTGACTTGAAGGCCAGTTCTGGTTCTAAGATAAACCATCCGCTGGCAGTTCTCTCACTGTGAAGACAGGTCAGCTCTTAGGACCTGAACTCCAGTCAGAAAGTTCCCTGTTCAGCTTGTCAAGCCTTGCTAATGCCTTTTAGAAATACTATTCCTGTATGTTGGTAGCCACAATTCCAAGCAAACGTAGGATTTGGGGAAAAAAACAAGCTCTGTGTAATTGTTTTTTAAAAAGAGTCTGAAAGGCGTTTGCAGACGGCTCCGTTGAGGCTGTTAGTGCGTAGGAAGGCAGCAAGGCATCCTCGGGGAGGAAAGCCGGCATGCTTAGCGAGGTGCGTGCAGCTGGGTCTTTGCGGCCCTGTAACACCCATTGCGGCGCGACTGGAATGTATGCTCAGGGATGTTTCATGGAGACTTATTTTTCAAGGCAGTAATGTGGAATTAAGCGACATGGTTTATGAGCAAAACAAACTTTCTGCTTGGACTAGACATTGCAGTTTTTCCAGTAAAATAATTTTACTAGGAGATACCCACGTTAAATGAATAATCTGAGTGACAAGTGGTAAAACAAGGAGGATTTGGATGCAGGTTACTAGCTGAATAGTATGTTAATGCCATACTTGACATGGCCACAAGGCCCAATTTATGATATTCTTTACTTTTCAAATTTTATTTGTAAATTTTTCAGATTGCTCCAGAGGAAATAGCAAAATTTGTAATACAAAAAATAGGATGTCCATTTATTCCTGAACAAGTCTGATTCTCTGTAAATCACCTCCTTTCAAGGTTTACGTAGGAATGTGGTCATGCAGATGACACTGCTTTTGTTTGGTGTGTGTACAGACACAGGGAAACATATGGCAATTTGGTGCAATATTTTTCTTAATTGGGATGAACTGTGAAGAGAAGGCATAAAGAGTTGCTTTTTCTTCCTAATGTATTTTCCATTTGACTTCTAGGCAAGTGCAAACAATTTTAGAAATTTATTTCTTGTTTTATAGTAGTTCTGTGATTTTTTTTTTCCCCACTCCTTTAGATGAAGCTTGACAAAGACGGAAATACTGCCTTTTTTGGTGAGTTCTCATTGTAGTTTAGTTTATTTGTTTTCTGTTTGTCTTTTTTCCTTGTCCAATACAGAAGAGCCCAATTGGGAATCTACATAGGGTAGAAAGTTATATTTGGGACACTTCACTGTGTTTATTTGGGATGTCACAACATTTCCTCTGTTTCGTTGCCTTCTGTTGGTCTTCATAGTATCTTTATTATTGCACTTGTAGTATATTTTTAAGTAATATTTTGAAAATGATGTATACTATCTCTCACAGGAAGGTAATTTTTACTTGTCTTTTCTGGTTTTGACTAGCATACTACTTTCGCTGCCTTGTATTTCATTTCCTGTAGGATTACATGTGCTTTCTCAAATGGGTCACTTTGTTTCTGACATGAAATTAATTGTCATGGCCAACTTTTTGGCTTATATCTAGATTTTTTTCTCTTTCCATTCAAGATACAGTCTTCTCAACTTTGTAAAAAATAAATTACCTTGAGGAATTGATGGGAGGAAAACTGTTCTAAAGATAGCACAGCTGTTATTTTTCCTTTGCAGGACTGAGTAACAGACTAAAATGTAATTTCAGAACATATATGTGTGTCCTCTAAATGTCTTCCTCTAAAAATATTTTTATGATAGAAAAGAAGAAAACAGAATTGTACCAGGAATTGGGTCTTCAAGCTCGAGATCTAAGATTTCAACACCTAATGAGCATTGCGACTAGGAACAACAGGATCATCATGAGAATGGAGGTAATGGTTTCCCTCTAGCCGAGTGTAAACTTGAACTGTGTTTTATCCTTTCACCTGCATTTTCTTGCATGGTTCTTTTAATGTCAGCTTTCTATGACATGCAGCCCAGCAGTAAATGTGCCTTTGAAGCTCTACCTGGCAATCAGAGGTACAGGTTTACCAACAGTACATATTAATTCCTAGTTGAGCACAGACGAAATGTTGCTAACATTGTAATAGAAGTAAAGACTTTCGAGAAGCCTCTTCTCAGTCATACCACCGCTAGCACAGTGCTGTGTCTGAACCATGGGGAGTACACTGGTTCACAGTTAGCGTGAGATTCTGTTATTTTCCTGCCTGAAAAGACATTTGAAGAGTGTCTTTATCAAAGCTTAAATTATCAAATGCACTACAGAGTCATGAGAAGACAGAAATCTTCAGAGAGGGTTTTTTTTCAGACTCCTACATGTACTATCTTTTTCAGTTCTTGAAGGCTGTCATAACACCAGAGTTTCTTCTGATACTAGATTATCGTAATTTAAATCTGGAACACTGGCTCTTCAGTGAACTAGCATCTCAGCTGTCTGGGGAAGGTCAACTAGTTACATATTCCCTGCCCTTTGAATTCCGAGCCATAGAAGCAATCCTGCAGCACCGGGTGAGCTATATCATTTTTATTTAAATTGTTTTGGAAGTTTTTGCTTCATAGAAAGGACAGTGATTTTCTTCTTGTGTTAATACTTATACATACACATTTGTATATGTATTCCACGCTTATTCTAGGAGCTTTTTTTTTGGTTTTGGCTTTTGTTGGTTTAGTTGTTATGGTTTTGTGTGTATGTGTGTTTCCATTCCCTTCCCAAGAAAGTGCTCATTGGAAAGTTTGTTTTTGGAACAACTTCTGTAAGGATGTGATGGCTTCACCATCACTTGGACAAATGAAAAACAAGTCAGAGTACCTACCTTTCTAGAGACATGCTTTAGTTGAAATTGAAGTTGTGCAGAAGCGCTGAGGTTTTTTGGCCTCTTGGGCAGGAGCCAGATAACGAGTTCTAGCTATTTTTTAAAATCTACACTTGCTACTGCTAATATGACATTTCTAGACAAACTGTTTTAGCTTTATCAGCTTTATTGGTGTGGTGTCACAGGGTTTCAGTTCAGTTCAGTGCAAATCACTTATAAAATACTGTATATTTTTGTCTTTATCTTTGAAGTGGAATCCCTATAGCAAGTATTTCCCAGGCATTGGAAAGTAGATTGTGTTAACTGCCTATTGCTGTGAATTCTGTGTTTGGAGACAGGAGCCAGTTGCCCAAGTCATTCTAAAGGGATTGCTTTAATTCTTATAAAGGATCATGTTGTTATCTAGATCAGCAAACTGCAGGGGAGACTTAACACTTTGCAGCCTCAGATCCTTGAGACACTGGAAGCTCTAGTGGACCCCAAGCTTTTGTCTGTGGATAGGAGTAAACTACACATTCTCCTGCAAAATGGCAAGAGGTAAATAAGAGTAAGCTGTGAAGAGACTAGAAGATGACCATAGAACGTTATGTGCAATTAAATGTTAGAAAAATGGTATCTAATATGAATTTTCTAGATTACTGTAATCCTGGGTTGTGCATCTTATTTGTAAATGTAAAAAGCGGTATATGAAATACCTAGTGATATGGGGAAAAACAGAAAAGGGGAAATCTGTTCTGAGTTATCAGAAACAGAGTCAAGCTTCTTAAATAGCATCTGACGGAACAGAATAATAGTCAAGAGAACACAATAACATTCTGAAAATGTTCCCCATAATGTAAAACAAGGTTAGCGGTTGGATCTGTGGTTTAAGGTCACTAGTACTAATACACTGGTACCTTCGCGTGTTGGCCCCTCTGACATGACAGTGCAAATATCCCTGCATGCTCACGGAGTGCTTGTTTTTTCTGACTTACAAATATATCCATAAAATACACCTGAATCCCTTTTAGTGTGTGTCTGTAGCTCTCTGGTCCCCAGACTGATCACTGCCACTGCTAAGCATGTGGCCTGTAGAGAATTTTTTGAAGGAGCTCTTAGAACCCTGCAAGGAAGTCTTCCCTGGCTACTCCATCTGGCGAGGGTGCTGTCTGGCAAACTCATTTAGAGATTACCTTTGTGCACTGGTGCCAGTGGGGATTACTTGACCTTTTGCTTGTTCTTTCTTCAGCTTGTCAGAACTGGAAACAGATCTTAAAGTTTTCAAAGAAACAATTCTGGAGATCTTAGATGAAGAAGAGTTAATAGAAGAGCTCTGTCTGTCTAAATGGACTGATCCACAAGTATTGTATGTATATTTTGAAACCACATCCTTTTTTAAAAGTGTATTTTGTTTAAGGAGAACTTGAACACTAAACTGGGTGTTCCCTGCCAAAAAGCAGAAAGAAGAAGACACACTAATTTTTTAAAGCCCTAATGCTTGCTGCTTCAGAAATCATTGTATTTGCCATTTTGGAGAGGGACTCCATTAGCAGTAGTCACGCTATGCAGCTTCAGATAGTTTTTGGCATAGCAGGCCAGCTCATCTGGGATGTAATGGGATGGGAGCAGGATGGCAGGAGGAGGAAAAGCAAATATTATTTTTCAATACAAATTAACACTTTCTGGGAGAATTTTCTTGTTTCACCAAAAAAGCAAAGAGGCAGGTTTTAAAGCTTGTCTTGAATATGTCAGAACACTTCCTTTGTTAGAAGTGTTCTGAACACCTTGCTTCTAGCTTTTTGCTCAGCAGAACCTGAAGGAATGAGGCCTGGGGGCAATCTTGTTGTGCACCTGAAGAGGAGCATTTCAGGAAAAATATACATTCAGAAATAGCCCTATTGCACACTCCAAAAATCTGTTGAAAGACAGCACACAGCAGCAACAGCAGCACCAGTTGCTGCAACAAAAACTAAAAAGCCAAAAGATAATGTGTATCATATCCCAGTATGTTTTGGGGCTGACTTGTATTTCAATCTTGAGCATACAGACATGTTTTCTGTTCAAGCAGATAACAAAAACTACCTTTCAGGTCCTTTGTGAAGTTGCTGAGTAGTACTTTTGACCAAGTACATTACATGTGGATATTAGTACTGTTCACACAGTATTGTGTGCTTGAAATTGGGAGATAGTGTCTTGCCCTGCAGAATTTAGTGTAAATATGCACCAGAAACTTGTTATTCCAGGAGTGGAATGTGGTTTGCCTTTCTAATGCATCCACTGGAGCAGTATCGGGAGGGCACTGAATTCCAGGCTGCTCCTGAGCACCTGGTCTTTGGCCTGGTTTTGCTCACAGCCTTCCTTTGGACTTAAGACAAGCTGCTGGCAAATTTCTTCTCACCTCATGGTAGACAATGTGTGGGGAACATGTAGGAAAGATACCAGTCACCTTACACTCTTGTTTTGGGAGAAACTTGAAGCCATCCTTTCTTTCAGACACAACCATTTCAGACAGATAGGAGAGGTGGCAGGAAGTTGTGTAAGGAGTGCTGGAGCCATGCTGCAGGACATGGCGAGGCAGCCTGCACCCAAGGCATGCCAGGAAACGCTAGCCACGACAGCACATTTACTGGCAGTGCATGTGCAGCTTTTTTGGCCCCAGGATTGATGCAGATGATGTGAGATATTTGATGTACTCAAGAAGCCTGAGAAGGCGTGGAGGAAGCCAAGTAGGTATACAAGTGTCACCAGAGAGCATTTGCAGCAGGACAGAAAGACAAGACAAGATCTTTGTGTGTGAAGGCATGGTGGAGTGTCAAAGACTCATGAGGCAGATGGAGGCTAATTAACGAAATCAAATCAGATGACAGTCATTTTCAAGTCCGTCTGCCTGTTGTTTTCCTTTGTGTAGCCACAGAGGAGCCAACGTACAGACACTGATCAAATAGGACCTTGAGCTGAATCTGTAATACAGCAGATAGTGCTCTAAGGCTTTCAAGTCTACCACTCCTCTCATCTGCATGCACTAAAACCCTCAAGGTCTGAAGGGCTTTAAAATCAGCCTGGCTAACTCAAAGTTTCTTCCCCAGAAGAGAGAAAACTAGGAGTTCTGTTAAAGGTCCCCAGGGAGCCTATGTGGGTTGATTCTTAAGACATATCACTAATTTTCTTGGAAAAAAACATTTCAGAGAGGTTCCTTCAACAGTCAGCAATGCCAGGAGGAGATTCTTTAAAAAGTTTAGTCTCTGTAGAGAAAGGAGGTCATACCACAAAAGAAAAAATGATGAAGAATCTTCCTGGCTTTGCTGCTAGTTTTCAAGCTCTTGAGGATCTTGGGTGCCTTGGCTTTCGTCTACACAGTGAACAATCCCGTACACTGCCAGAAACACACCTGTTCCAGAGAAGGCTGCTGCACCAGGCAGTAAGATGAAAGTCTCTCAGATAGACTTCACTTAGGAGAGCAGCATCTTCCATTTGATGCTTGCTCTTCAGCTATTTCATGCTTCCAAAATGTTTTGCAGTAATTACTGTGTGTGGCTGAAACACCTTATAGCTAAACTATTTTAATATGCACCTAAATCACATCCCTCACTGTGTAATTTTGGTTGTCTTGGAGTTTTTGACTGCACTCCTACCAGCTTCCACCACTTGAGGGCGCCAAGAAATCAAGCATCTCCTTTCAAAATTGCACTTTATAATAATGACTTAATATAAGTATTTATAGCAATATAAACTTTAAAAATAAATCTGATAAAACTTTATAACTTTTTAATATCTGAAAAGTAAGATTTGTGATGTTGTGCATGCCTTGAGCACTTCAAATGCTAACTGCTCTACTCAAAATAATTGACTGCCTATGCTCATCAGCTGATAAGATATAAAAATATGCCTTTTATTTTAAGCTGTTGGTATCGACGGAAGTTCTTTGTTTGAAAGACTGGATTTTGAGATCTAATGACAGCACTCTTGTTGGCTGTTCCCCACAGCTCTTGTGTGCCTGGTCTTAACACATCAATAATACACTTCTATGCAACATGTAGCTAACCAGAAAAATCTAAATTGTTGCTCACAGTGAGGAGAGTACATCTGGGATTGACCATGCAGAGGAGATGGAGCTGCTGCTGGAGAACTATTACAGACAAGCAGAAGATCTTGCAAATGAAGCTCGTGAACTCAGGGTACTGATTGACGACTCGGAAAGCATAATCTTTATCAACCTGGACAGGTTAGCTATCCTGTCTGTTGGACAGCCAAAACCTGAGGAGATTTTAATGCTGCCTAGTCTGTCTCAAGTCACTGCCTGTAAGGAAAGCTGGGGAATTCCGTTGTCATAAGTGTTTGAATGGACTTGCAGTCACAGTACAAGAAGCTGAATTGCACTTTTCTTACCACTGAACTGGATAAAGCAAAGCAACAAGACCCCTGATGAGTATATGTAAAAACCTCTCTAGCTAGGCAGCAGTTTTCACTAGCAGGAGAAATTAAGCTTCTCCTATACCCTTCTGGGGAGCCATCCACTAGAGGAAATGTCTGCAAATTTAGGGCTAAAATAAAATTCTACTCAAGAAAGTTTGCTCTTAATTCAGCAAAACTGAAACTCTTATTTAAGAGTCTGGCTAGGCTAGTCAGGTATTCAGTACAAGTTGCATTGTCACTCTGTGGAGTGATAAAAGAACAAATAACTTTGGAGTATTTTCTCGCTGTACACTACAGTTTTCACTACTAGTCAGCTTTCTTACTGGAAAATAATTAGCCTGCATTTGCAAGCACGTGCCACTCTGTCTCTGAGGTCAGTGTTTAATATTCTTTCTCCTCTTTACTGGGGAGTTACCTGTAGAAGCAATTGGTGGATGCTGCATCAGGAAACCACAAAAATCCTTTTGGGGAAGACTTGAATATGGAATTCTCCAAAACAGGCTCAAGTTTATAGTCTGCAGCATTTACTGACTCTACTTCTTTCTAAGTCTATTCATTTACAAGGTAACAGTAAATTTTTGCTGCTTGCAAGTACAGACATATAAATTCCAGTCAGTTATTGGTGACAGAACACAAATTTCCATGGAAATTTACTATTACTCTGTGTATATACCTGTAAGAAGTGAGCGCTGCTGGAAGGTCTGTTGATGATTAAGCAGAATCTGCTGCCCTAGAGGTATCCTGATGCAGCAATTTCAAAACAATAGCCTCTTTTTATGTTTGTTTTGTGAGTTTTGTCACTGGGTTGCCTAATCCCAGCATGTCTTTCACTATTTGGTTTTAGTGCATGCTGTATGGTATTTGAGAATTTAGGCAGCAAAACAATTTTTGGGTTCCTCTTACAGATGTTTCTCCCTTCTTTAGCCACCGTAATGTGATGATGAGACTGAACTTGCAGCTGACTATGGGGACTTTCTCTCTATCTCTCTTTGGACTCATAGGAGTTGCATTTGGTATGAACTTGGAGTCATCTCTTGAAGAGGTAAGGAATGAATGCTGCTTTTATCAGTGACTTAAAACATAGGCCTTGCTCTTATAGTAATTTTGTATTGAGTACAACTCCATTCTTGCCATAGGTAAAGCTCCAGATTTATATTAGTGTGTGAACTAACATAATTTAGTCCAGTGATTCATGTGTTAGGGCAGTAATTTTTTTTGTAAGCAAATTACTTTATGGCTAACTGTACAGTATTGCAGGCTTTTTTGCCTGTGTACACAGAAGAGAGATGGGAAGATTAAGTTATGGTTGAATCAGGACTGACAATAAAACAGTATTCAGGTTTCTTTAATCTTCCTTTCCGTATTCATTAAATAGAAAGGTTGAATTTCCAAACTTTCTGATGAAGGAAGGAAAACTGCATGGGGCAGAAACAGAATACACTAGAGTGAATCCTAAATAAAATGCTTTGCTATGAAACAGCCCGTTCCCAAAGCAGGGCTTGTCTGTAGATGGTAGAGTGTTTACCTCTTCCCTCCCATATAGGAGGAAAACACTGGTGGGGAGTGAGAGATTATCTTTCGCTAATCCCTTTTCTGAAGAGAGAGTTGCATGACTAATAGGAATGTTAGGACCTAAATGGGACCTGATGAGATATATCCGTGGGTCCTGAGGGAACTGGCAGATGAAGTTGCCAAACCACTATCTGTCGTATTCGAGAAGTCGTGGCACTCTGGTGAAGTTCCCGCAGACTGGAAAAGGGGAAACATAACCCCCATTTTTAGAAAAGGAAGTAAAGAAGACCCGGGAAACTACAGGCTGGTCAGTCTCACCTCTGTGCCTGGCAAGATCATGGAGCAAATCCTCCTGGAGTCTATGCTAAGACACATAGAAGCAGGTGATTGGTGTCAACCAACACGGCTTTACCAAGAGAAAAT